TTGGAACGTTGGAGACATCCATATTGTCTCTTCCTTTTCCCTCAACAGCCATATTTAACCAGTTGCCAAATCTTGTTGATTATCTATCCACAATACCTCTCATATCTTCCTTTCTTCTTCACTTACTTGCTTCTACTCTAGTTTAGGTACTCATTATTTCTCATTTGGATGACTGTAACATCCTCCTATTTGGTTTCCCTGTATTGTTTCTCCTCTCTCCAATTCCCACTCCACAATGTTACAAAACTGATATTTTTTTTTTTGGCTAGGCAATGGGGTTAAGTGACTTTCCCAAGGTCACACAGCTAATAAATGTCAAGTGTCTGAGGCCAGATTTGAATTCAGGTCCTCCTGACTCCAGGGCTGGTGCTCCGTCCACTGTGCCACCTAGGGACTCCTAAAACTGATAATTCTTAAAACATAGAACTGGTCATGTCACCTAATTTACTAAAAAAAAAACTTTAATGGCATTGGCATTCTGTTGTCTCTAGGAAAAGAACAATAATGACAATCATAATAAATAGCTAATATTTATGTAATACATTAAAATTTTCAAAGTGCTTTATATAAAAAATACAAAACCTCTCATCCTGGCATTTAAAGACCTAAGCAATATGACTCACCCATCTTTTTATTCTTAATCTATATCACGCCTTCTTGAACACCTACCATTCAAACAAAACAGGTCAGCTAGCACTTCCTTGTACCTAACATTTCATCCACCTCCTCCTTTGCACAAGACAGAGAGAATGTTAATCATGGTGTTTGGGGAGGGGTGTGGTAACAAGGAAAGGTCTGGTGTAGATGGTGGCATTTGAATTGCTCTTTAAAGGAAACTAGGGATTCTATGGGGAGGAGGATGCATTCTGGGGATGGAGGACAATTCATGCAAAACATGGAGTTAAAATGGTATGTTGTTTATGGAGAAGCCTGGAATGGAGATTGTGTGAAAGAGAATGCATGGAATGAGACTGGAAAAGAAAGTGGGAGCCAGATTATGGTGTGTGTGAAGTGGAATCTTCATTTGTATTTCACCCTAGCAACAAGAAGGAACCATAAAAGTTTTTCAGTAGGGGACAGAATGCAGTGATATGATTAATGTTTTAGGAATAGTAATTTAGCAGCTTTTTGGAGGATAGAAGGAAAGGGGAAAGACAAGATGCAGAGACCAATGAGGAGGCTATCTCAATAGTCCAGGAGAGAAGTGATAAATGCCTAAATGATGTTTGAGATTGTTTGAATGTTCAGAATGTAAGGGAGGTTGTAGAGACAGAATTGACAAAACTTGCTAACTGATTAGATATGGGGGTTGATGGCATGAGAAGAGTTGAGAAACAGTCAATCTATCAACAAACATTTAATAAGCACTTAATACGCTAATTCTAATGTTGCAGACCTTGGTAACTTAAGGATAGTAGTGCCATCAACTAAAAAGGGCAAGATTTGAGGTTCTGGGCATTCAAGGAAATATAATGAGCTCTGTTTTAGACATGTTGAGTGTGAGGTCCCTATACTTCGTATAACTAGGTGGTGAAGCAGATAGAGTGCCAGGCCTCGATGAGTTCAAATCCATCCTCAGACACTTACTAGTTGTGTGACACTGGGCAGGTCACTTAACCTTACTTGCCTCAGTTTCCTCATCTGTAAAATAAGCTGGAGAGGGAAGCAGCAAACTACTCCAGTATCTTTGCCAAGAAAACCCCAAAAGGGGACACAAAGAGTCAGATGCGATTGAAAAACAACTAAACAACAACAAAAAAGATATTGAAGATGAGAGAAGCAGAAAGAATGATTAAGGTGGAAGAAGGCCTCCTAACTAATTGGAGACTAGAACAACTGAGGAGAGAATAGGGATAAAGAGGAGTTTTGAGGAGTACAGTTGGGGAGAAAATGAATCTCATACCTATTTTCTTAGCGAAGTAGGAGGCAAGGTCTTTAGCTGAGAGGGAGAGACAGGAAACATATAAGAGGTGTGAAGAGACAGGAGAGGGTTTCAACTAACTTATGTGGAAAGCATAATAGTCAATCAGAGAATAAATAATAAATGGATTACTGGGTAGCAGTGAGGGCCCAGTTGAAATTAGATAATACTAATTTGTATTGAACAAAGTTGAAACTTTGTCCAGCAGCATTAAACAATCTGTGAATAGGAAGAGAAAAGGCAGAAATATTTTGCTTAGGCCCAAAAGAGATAGTTTAAGTGACTGTTCCTAATTAAACACCAATTAAGTATCAGAGGTGGGGAAATTAAATGAGATTTCTCTAGACTTTGGGTAAGTAACCTTATTTTCCTCTAAAATTACGGGATTTATACTAGATAACAAAAAAATAACCAACTAAACAAATAGGCTCTAGGGCTTTTCCCATTATACCATATAGTGTCTTCAAATTAAAACAGTCTTCATTTATCCATTTTGTCTTGCTGTTAAGGTGTTTGAGGCCAGACTTAGTCACAATGAATTTTTTTTTATTTCTTCTTTATATTGAGATGAAATTTACCTGCTAATAATTTCCACCCACAAGTCCTAGCTATCTTCTCTGGGACTAAGTAGACACAATAAATCTAATACCTCTTCCACATGAAGATATCCATAAATCCCTCCTTCATCCTCATCACCCTCCTCTAACTTATCAATGTCCTTTCTAAAACATGGAATACAGAACTGATCACAATGTTTCAGATGTTATTTGAGTCATCTTGGAGTGGACCAGAACAGAATACAGCAGATCTCTCCTATCTTTCACTTGGTATGCTATACTTCTATTCTTGGAGCCTAAGAAAGATTAAGATGTGTTTTAGTTAGTTGCACTGCTGTCTCATGCAATTTATTAAAGCTCCTAGCTCCATTTCATGTTGTTATTGTTGAATCATTTCAGTCATGTCCAACTCTTCCTGACCCCATTTGGGGTTTTCTTGGCAAAGATACTGGAGTGGATTGCCATTTCCTTCTCCAGCTCATTTTACAGATGAGGAAGCCGAGGCAAGCAAGGTTAAGTGACTTGCTCAGGGTCACACAACTAGTAAGTATCTGAGGCCAGATTTGACTTCTTGAGGATGAATCTTCCTGACTTCAGACCCAGCACTCTATCTACCGCACCATCTAGCTGCTCATACTCTTATTTCAGCTGAACTACTTCAGAGTCATGTCTTACCCAATCTATATAGACCTGTACATTGATACTACTAAGTTTTAGCTTGCTGACTTCATTACAATTCCATGATGTCAAGTTAATTTGAGGCTCTTAATTCTACCATATTAGCTACCCTTTCCTATTTTGTGTCACCACAAATTTGATAAACATGTCATCTGTGTCACTGACAAAAAATGCTGAAGAGCATAGGACCAAGGACAGAGTGGGAGAGCCCTGCATTAGAGCCCTGCCCTCTGTCCTGAAACTGATTCATTTATTCAACAAACTTTGGGTCTAGCCAGTTTTTTTTTTATTACATATTTTGTGAGTATTCATTTTTGGTCTGTTTGTTTTAAAGTGAATTCCCTTTTGCTTCACATAAAACTGTCTTTAGACCTTAAAAAAAAAGGTGATATGAATAAACAAGAGTATGAGCTCTTTGAGGGCAGAGACGTTTGCTTCTGGATCCCCAGATATTAGCACAGTGTTTGACATATAGTGAGCGCTTAATAAATGCTTGTTGCCTTGGCTTGAAGACGTTATTAGTTGATCATATTATCACATTGCATGTGTGGGAAGTTTATGAAAATGATAACATTTAATCAGATGGTGACCCCTCTCCAGAGTTTGATGAGCTCCAGAATGGATTCTCTTGTTGCAGAGATGCTCAGATTCCTCAGAATAGCACTATTCTACCCACCTAATTAATAAATTGACATATTTTCTGTTTAGAAGAGGGCCCCATCTATGTTGAAGTTTTGGGGAATATTTTATTTTCTGAGGATAGAGATTTTCAAGATAATCCTGTAGAGTAAGACATCAGCCAGCCTAAGAATGGGCTAATGTCTGCCGAAAGATCTAAAACCTTCTTAATAGTAAGTTCAAGTCAATGAGCATTTATCAACTGCCTACTATGTGTTAGGCACTAGGGACACAAAAACAAAACCATGAAATTACCTCACTTCAGGGAGCTTTCCTTGTATTGGGGGTGAACATCAGGTATATAAGTAAATGTAAAATATGTACATAATATATGCAAAATAATTTTGGGGAGGGAACAATAACAACCAGAAGAAGCAGGAATCAAGAATCAGAAAAAAAAAAAACTCTTGAAGGAGTTGATGCTTGAGCCTTGAGACCATGCCAGGTTTAGGGAATGGTCTGTACAAAGGCACAGAGATAGGAAAGGAACTCCATGTTCTGCAGTTTTCAAAAAGACAAGTGGAGAGGAGGAGATTTGAGATGTGGTTCAGCTTTCCCTAGAGTCAAATTATTTTAAATTATATCCTTAAACCATTAGCATGACTAGTTTTTAATCTACTGAGAACTTGGGAGAATATAATGTACCTTCCAAGGTGTTTTGTGGAATCTCCTAAGCCAATATCAATGATTCATTTTTTTCTAGGACAAAATCAAAAAGAACTGTGGCGAGAAAAATGGATTTAGTTTATATTTCCATGAATCATTTGGGAGAAATTAAATGTTCTCCCTGTTGTCCCTTCAGCTCCTAGAATTATGTGCACTTTTGTGTTAGCATTCAGTAAGACATAGGAAATATCAAGAGGGGAAGAGAAATATTCTTTTTCCTGTGCTCATTTAAAATGAAAACCAGTTCCTTATAAATAAAAACCAGAATCAAATGCATTCTTCAGTATGTGTTTTCCATTTTAGTTTCAACAAAACAGAGAAAGTAACGGAACGCATGCAAACTTTTCATTGTGGATAGAAGAAAGAACTGGTGAAATTTTTGCCCTGACTTCAGTCTTTACAGACTCTGTTTAGTCTGTTTAAAAAAACACCCCAACAATTTCATTGCCGGTCTCATCACAGTGAAGAGCAAGAACACAAGGGTGGAAGTAAAGACGTACCGTGTCACGTTGCCGATTATCTTTCCCTGATTTTATCAAGAAGTAGTTCCACGTCAGCAGCAACAACAAAACCAGGGGTATCATGTAGAGCTCAAAGTTCCAAACCACAAAGAGGAAGAGCTGGAGGAGACAGGAGGGAGAAAAAGAGACGAGTCAATTCTGAATGTCATTAAACGGATTCTCTTATTCACGCTCCACTTCAAAAACACAAACTCAAATGTTTTAGAATGGGAGGATTTATCTTGAAAACAAAGTCCTGAGGAGTCCTTAAACATGTTCGGAAAGCAGAGCAGAACCCTTGAAAGCCATTGTTAGCAGCCTGCATTGGTTTTTACTTGGTTTAATTTCTCTAAAGGAAAAAAAAAAGTGATATCATTACATGGTCAAAGAGGTGATTTTAATTTGTCTTCTCTAATGAAGGCATCATTAAGTTGGACAAAATAAGGTCATAAATGAAAAGAGCATCTACATAGTCAAAAACGGTTCTATTTTCCTTAATGATAAAGAATGAATCACCATTTATTATTACGGACTTTTATCTTACTCAGATAACACAATGTAACAAGCATAAGATGTGGATGGAATTATGAAGCCTACATAAGAATATTGAAAAGAGTTCACCTCTCAGAACATAAGAAATGCCAGAAATGCTTCACAAAAGTAGAGTAAGACCTTCTTTAACATAACATTGGTATAAAACAGTCAGCCATAAATCAAAATGAAAGTAATTAGATCATAGGAAGTGAGAAAAGTTCTATTAGAATATTTTTAAATAATTCTTTTTTAAAAAAATAATCACACATATTTCAGGACTTTGTGTATCTCTGGAAGGCATTGTTTTATATGTTGGAATTGTTTATATAAATGGACTTGATATTATATCATTTGGAGGATGACCAGGATTCTAAATTGATTATTAATTATTAAAATGAGACAAACAGGTGGTAAAATGTTTAGAGAATTGAATTTAAAGTCAGGAAGACCTCAGTTTGAATCCTATTTCAGAAATTTACTAAGAGCTTAACTCTGTCTGCCTTAGTTTCTTCATCTTTAATAAGGATAAAGATAACACTTAACTCACAGGGTTACGGTGAGGATCAAATGAGATAATATAATAAAAACCACTTTGGAAACCATTACTGTGCTATACAAATGCTAGCTATTACTATTTTTTATTACTATATTGGGTATGAAATTCTACATCTTTGTCACACTCAGAAGGTAACCCAACATATATCTCAGTTACATCCTTAAATAAAAATCATTTTAGATGTCTAATTTTCCAACATTATGTTAAGGATTAACTAATTTTTTAATTAACTCATTTTATTTAGGATTAACTAATTTTTTTAGTTGCTGACATGTTTTTGCTCAGATTCTCGCACTCAAACATTACCTGTATTTGAAGCTATACAGTTTTGCCATTTATTGCTCAAAGGGATTAGCAATAGTGAGTTTTTGCCTCTTCAATTCCATAGAAACCTTGCTGCCTAATCTAAAAGAAGATGAAAACACAACCAGCATTTCTGTAAACCCCGTCTTTAAAAAAAAAAGTATTTGAACTGAGTCTTCCATTCAGCACAGACATTTGAAATCTTTCACAAAGAAGGAAATGGGTCAACATAAGCTCATCCAAGGAAATAAATTCAAACACAGACCAATACGACAATGTCCTACATAAAGACATTTAAGTATTTTAATATAATAAATACCAATATCACTCTCTTTAGGGTAGACAAAGAATTTAGTTAACTGGTTAGTTAAATGTGTCCTACTTTCACTGGGGAGAAAAAAAAACCAACTTGAGGGAGTAGCAAAAAGTTTCCCTTTTGGCTTTGAAGAATTTGGGGAATTAAGACCATATTAATTATATCTGACAGTTCCTTATTTCCTGTCAGGATGACAATGCTAATAAAGTGTTTGTGTTGTAGAGAAAAAATCAAAATTAGTTATACAGGTCATGTGAAACAAAAAATATCTATTTATAGTCAGCACTAACTCCTTAATTGATTTAACTGGATTATCTATTTGTAACCTTATGTAATCAGCAGATAGTGCTATCTGGCATGGTTTGAAGGTTTAGGTAAGGAGATAGGCCATCTTTTTTCCCTTCACTGATCTCAAAGGAATGACTGCTGGAGCTGAGGTACAAACACCCACATTCTGGTCTCTGTGAGTCATTCAGGCAATAAATATTTATTAAGCACCTATTATGTGCCAGGACCTGTGCTAAGTAAGTGCTGGAGATACAAAACAAGGCAAAAGACAGTTCCTGTGTCAAGGAGCTCACAGTTTAATGGGAGAGACAACATGTAAACAACTATGTACAAATAGAATATACAAAGGATAAATTGGAGATAATCAACAGAGGAAAGGTACTAGAAGTAAGGAGGAGAGGCAAAAGCTTCCTGTAGATGTTGAGATTCTTAGCTGGGATTTGAAGGAAGCCAGGGAAACCAGGAGGTAGAGATAAGAGAGGAGAAAATTCTGGGCAGTGAAGGCTCCAAGTTGAGAGATGAGACAGAATTTCTTGTATTGTTTGTTCTTTGCTCTCAAAGAGGACCATCACATCAGGAAGGTAATGCCATGACTTGCAAGTGAAATGAATTTAAGCAAGGGAGGGCAATGCAAAGTTACCAGCTTCACTTTCGCCTTTATGGCCACCTGGGTCCAGTGGCAAGATGTAGACCAGGACAAGTGGAGATGGCCCCTGGAATTGCTTGTACAAGAAACAGTCATGAGGTCTACATTGCTGCATTGCAGAGTATGTGGTGGGGTGTAAGATATGAGAAGACTGGAAAGGTGGGAAGTGGGGAAAGGGAGACAGCCTATAAAGGCTTTGAGTATTTTAATAACAGTTTTATATCTGTTCTTGGAGGTGATAGGGAACTGCTGGATTTTATTGAGGATGGGGTGACATGATCAGACCTGTTCTTTAAGATTACTTTGAGAGTTGAGTGGAAGATGGACTATAGTGGGAAAAGACTTGTGGCAAAAAGACCAGTATCAGTGGGTTATTGGAATAGTGTAGGCTTAAGATGATGGGGGTCTACACTAGGGTGATACCACTGTGGCAAAGTGCCTGCAGGTTGGCATTCTCTCTCTCTTCCTCTCTTTTCCTCTATCTTTCCCTTTTCATCTCCTCCCTTTATCCCCCTCAGTCTCCCAGTACTTTGGCTTTTAGGGTTTATTCATAACCGGGCCATTTTGTTTGGCTTCCAATTTTTTCTTGTCTATGCTTAGTCTATGCCACTGTTCTACTTTTTTAATTGATAACACCTGATAGCTTTTTATGAATATTGTTTCATAATATAGTTTAAAATCTGTTTCCTTCTCTTCTTTTTTGTTTTTATTACTTCCCTTGAAATTCTTGCCTTTAGTTTCTTCAAATGAATTTTCTTACGATTTTTAGTAATTTTATAATATAATTTCTTGAAGTTTTATGGACAACCTATTCAACATATAAATCTTAGACAGCTTTTTATAAATACTCAGATAAATACCGTAAATAGAGGGAGCTAGGTGGTACAGAAAGCTGGGTCTGAAATCAGGAAGACCTGAGTTCACATGTTCCTTCAGGCATTTACTAGCTCTGTGATCTTGGACAAGTCGATCTTTGTCTCATTTTTTCTCAACTGTAAAATGGAGATAATAATAGCATCCACCTTGCAGGGCTGTTGTGAGAATCAAATGAAATAAAATTTTTTTATGTCACTTATAACATGTTGCCTGGAAAGCATTAGGTGGCATATAAATGCTTATTTATAAATGGACAAAGAATTGGACACCAATTTGAATGAGAGGAGATGAGTAGGTTGTATTATTCTTTTTATATTGCTGAGTTTGGGTGGTTTTTTTTTAATGAAACCTAGCATCTCACTGAAACAAGGAACTATTTTTTATACTGATATTTTATTGCTGATATTATACAGCTGCAAGCCATGGAACACTGTAGTCTCCAAAGAACTGACAGTAATGGCCAACCAAAGGGTGATTCTGGGTGTGAGTACGGTACAAAACACTAAAAACAAGGAATCAGAAAGAAAGAGTGGTGATGATGATGTCATCAAAAAAAGTATGATTGAAAAAGAAGATATAATGGTCACCTGGTGAGAGCAGTGGAAAACTAATATATAATCCACATGTTCTACTGATATCTTCAAAATATCAGAAGAATAAGAAGGAGGCTACTAGCATATTAGGGATTTTGTGGAAAACTCATGAGAATTCATAGATGAGAGTCGGAGAAGATAAGCAATCATGGATGAAATCTACATCATTGGAAGGAATATCCCCATAGAAGAGATCACAGATGCATCGGAGTGTTTTTACACTTGATTATTTTTAAAATATAATGGCTTATTATTTTCTTTCTCCTCATCAACACTTCCTGGTTTGAATATCAAGGTCATCTTTACATCATAGAAAGAGATGGTAAAAACTGACCAGAAAGGCACCTAATCAGAGTTTATATAACTTAGGGATTATTTACACTTTGACAGTATGTTTGAAAGAATTCATTTGTAAAGTTATCAGGTCCTAGAATTTTTTTCTTCCTTCAAGAGTTAACTCATAGCTCCCTCAATTTCTCTTGATGAGACTATGTTGTTTATATTACCTATTTTCTGTTTTGTTGAACTGATTTGGTTTTTGCCCCTGTAAATATTTATTTCATTTAACTTTTGTTGGCATATTTTTCAAAAATTTCCTCTCTCTTGACTGTGAGTTGTTCCTAATAACTTTTTGTTTGACAATTTCACTTCCCTCCTTTTCGTTTGATCAAATTAGCTAAAGTTATATCTATCTTATCTTAAAACAACTTTTAGTTTTATTTATCAGAATATTTTTGCTTTTAATTTTATTTTATCTCTCCATTGGTTTGGGTTTATTCACTTGCTCATTTTTTAGCTCTTTCATTTTAATGTTCAATTCATTGATCTCATCTCTTTTGTTAACACATGTTGAAATATACATTTTTGCTTTAGTACTATAATACTTTAGACGCATACATAAATTTTGGCATGACATCTCATTGTTTTTGTTATTTTTAATATGAACATTTATTACATCTATTATTTGTTCTTAGAGTCACTTGGTATAGTTTTTATACTTTGACCTCT